GACTCTGCGCTCGGCTGCCAGCTTCGGCTCCTTCCACCTCATCCGTCTGCTTTATGATGAATACATGTTCTATTTGGTAGAACATCGTGTTGCCATGGCAACCGGAGAAACGCCCATCGCTGTCATGGGGGAGGTGAGGAGATCTGGCCGCTTTACAGTTTCATATTTCTGATGCTTCACGCTTGTGTTTTGAAAATAAAATATTGCGGGCCTGAAAAGAAATAAATAACAATATCCAAGAGCATATATACATGTGTCAGCAGAGTGTTTTTCTGAAATGTCCTTCTCAAATTATGTATTGTGTTTAATAGCATGGGGTGGAAATTACATTTCAAACTTTTTTGGGATAAAATGGATAAATACTTTTGCTGAGGCTAATTTCTCAGCTAGCATTTAACATATACTAAATGCAGAGAATTACATATTTACAATAGATATTTTCACTATATATATACAGTGATTAAAATAATAATATTTATTATTGTCTATCTATCCATCCATCCATCCATCAGTCTATACAATTAATTTTAATAAGTATACAATAAATAATACATTATTAATAATTGATAATTATTGTTATATTAATTATATACACCCATCCTAATAATAATGATATTAATAATATAACATTTTAATCATTTAATATATATATATAATGTATATGATATAGTTAATATTAATATATCTATCTACATATTAATAATGATAATTTTTTAAAAGAAATTAATAATGTAATAATTCAAATTAATAATTATATTTATATTATATTGAACTCTCTCTCTCTATATATATATAATAAAATTAATCATTACTAATAATTAATTATTATTGTTATATAATTAATTAAAAAATATTCTGCTCACAAGTGATATTTACCTTACACTTTTGTCTTCCTGGTTATGAGGTACACTAACTTTTGGTAAACTTTTGTTAGTGGTAAAATTGTTGCTTGTGGTGGAAATGATTTGTGTAAATATGAATAATTTTCAAACAATGAATATTGAATTGATTTAACTTTTGTTTAGATCATCATTATTTATACTAAATAGTTTCTAAAATGTAATTAAATATGAAAATCCAACATACAATAAAAGTATGAGGTTTGGTTTTTAATTTTTAATGTTGCCGTCTTCACATTTTCAGTTCAGTGACCTCAGCTCCATGATGCCATCACTTATGGAGAAAGGTAGCGATTTTGATGCCAACCCAAACTTAAGTTTCTGTCTCATTTTGAAGGTTCCTCTGCTCTGTATCCAACCTCCTTCTCTTTTCCTCTCCCAGATGCCTCATTCTCAGACGATCTGGCCAGTGATGGAGACATGTCGAGGATGAGCGAGAGGAGCATGAGTGAGCCGGCGGTGAAGAGCGAGCGAATCGAGATCAGTCCCTCCCTGCAGGAGATCTAATCAGCCTCACCCCAGACCACCGCAGACCCAGCCGGACCACCTCAAAAGGCTGCCGGTGGCAAAGATAACACTCATCTGTGAGGTTTTTCTTTATCTTGAGGGTACGTAGGTCTGTTTAGGGTCAGTGTGTGTCTCTCTTTCGCCTTTAGGTTTTCTGCGACTGTGAAACAAGAACGTGCTGGTTTTGTGATATGTTTTTGTCATGTGCCATAGTCTTCTTTCAGTGCCTTGGACGAGAAAAGAAACACTAGAGCAGAACTGTCTTTCTCTTTGATTTTTTCTTGTTCTGTCGTTCTCTCGGCCGTGCCTCTAACCACAGAATGAATGTATCGTCTCAGAACCTGATGTCTAAAGCACCTTTTAAAGATGGTCACATTTTTAGACTTTCTGCCTCGGCCGTTTCTTCGCGGTTCCTCAGGCGTAGATGCAACCTGCTGACCCCAAAGCCTTTTCAATGCCGAAATGGACGGAGAACGCTCCATTCTAGCCATTTTGTAGATAAACCCCGGCCATATGAGATGCCTAGTCTATACCTCAACAGTTTTTAGTTCTAATGAATTAATGTCTAACTTTTATTACATTTTATAAAAAATCACTATAAAAGAGATTATTCTACTCGGTTTGGTCTGATCGGTTGCCCTGAAAGCGCCCCGTTCTCGTTCGAAAGCTTCGGGATGTACATACGCCTACTGTGTTGATGGATATTGTTCTGTTTTAGATGAACCCAAGCAGAGCAGGTCCTATCAAAACTGGTTTGTGAAACGTTTTGGTCTAGTTTTGTAGTTCTTGGTTGTTAAAAAGAGCCTAGTTGATATATTGAACATACCTGTGTGTGAGGCCTTCTGAAGTAACTGGAAGTGAGTGTGCACTCACTCAACAGGTTATGTGAATAGTTTTCGTGTCGTTTTTATTAAAAACGAACTTACAAGTTTTTTTTTTTAAATTGATTAAAAGAACTTCCTATACATATTTAAGTATATTGTGTAAATGTAATTACAAAAAAAAATAAAAAGTAAAAGCTATATAATAGCTAAAAGCTTTTTCTAGATGTAGAAAACCCAAAATAGACATATAACAGAATATGCAGATTCTTACAGATACGCCTCATCACCTGGTGCTGTACATCTGATGTTTTAGTTTGCACGCTTGTAATGGAAACGATGTGCCCACTTGGCTGACGTAAAGCTGGAAATATTTTCAGGAGATATGTCGTTTTCAGGTTGTGATCTTTACTGGTGCCTGGTAGCGGCCCGTAATGGGCACCCTACATGTCCCTCTCTGATATTTACAAAGATAAACTTCATTTCTACTAGCGTTGTGTTTGTTTCTGAGAAGTGATTGGCAGATGTTTTCTCACTGTGGTTGGTTGTGAGTGTCAGGCTCTGTACTTTAACGCCTGTCATGGTTCTTTGCCTGTTGTGTGCTTTTGGGAAGGGAATTTGTTCAGTGTATTTTTAATTTTTTTTTTTTAATGCTGTTTTAAAGCTTCTGGCTAAGGATTATTTTTATGGAGGTAAATGCAATTCTTCTCACTATATTGATACCTTATTTTTGTGTCTTTAAAAAAATCTTTATTTAGCCTCAACTGCTTAGTTCCGACTGTATTTTGTACTGGTAAAAAGTGTAATAAATTTGTGTAAACCACTTTTGTCTCCGATGCTTGTGGTGTTATAATCGACACACGGACTTATTTTTCATATTAAACCTTTCTTGAATACTCAACATACATACATTCTGTAAATATCAGAACTTTATATCCATTGTACATGTTCATACTTATTCATTCACAAATTTGCACTAAAAATGAACAGAAATATACATCCAGTTCTTCAAAATTGAAATAAATGTGTGGCTTGTGCACCAAACAAAGAATTCTATACAGATAAAAGTAGAGGCTGGTTGTGGTCCCTAATTCCAATGCATACTTGTCCTAGAGCAATGCATCATGGGTATTCTTAGCGGTTTCCCACACATCACACTGTATATATACAACATGATCTCTCCTCTTCAGGCCTGTAGCAGACAGTTCCAGCAGCCCAGGGGGGTTAAAAAGTGCAAACTTTGTGCCTCTGGTAGTGAAGCAGTCACCATCACCGCTCATAAAGAACAGCCAGCCATGTATTTTCCTGTAAAACAATACAGATGAACGTTAGATCTATGACATCATGCTGTTATCATTATATCTGTCTTGAGTTGAGTTGCTATTTCAAGAAAAAAGCAAAAATAGGCCAATTTTAAAATCATACCATTAATCATACATCATTACATTAATATCAAACTATATATATATATATATATATATATA